AAAGAAACCACTACCAAATGCTGTTCAGCACATTATTTCCCCGTGTCAAGCTCTCTGTCAACATGACAGACGAATATTCCTGCAGAAAGCCAAGCTGCCCCAGAGAGTTAAGGGTGGCACCCCGGGGCTCGGAGCCGGGCACCGCAAATTCTCTTCAAGTTTTCAAAGTCCTGGGAAGTTTTGATAAGCAAATACTTGCCGGGCTCTGCTTCGCTATTGGCTCTTTCTTCACCGCCAGATTTTGACACAAATAATCTGATTGAAAAATCAGGGAGGGGAACAGGGGCAAAAAAAAAGCAGAGAGAGAAAAAAGAGAAGTATCTATTGCACCAGACAGCGAGTAAATGAAAAAGTGGAAGAAGGAGCCCAGGGAGAAGAAGACATCTCGCTGGGGGCTTGTCTGGGGAGATTTCAAGGCGACTCCTGTAAAGCAAAGTCCCCCAAACAGGTGATTTATTTATTCTTTTAAACACTTCTATTTTAATTGCTTAATTCTTTCCTTTGATATGTCTTTATAAGCTTTTTTATTCTTTGCTTGTGTTTGCAAATGTGTAACAGGTTCCACTGCGTCAGTCAGTGCCTTGTCCTGAGGACTGTTTTATGATAATGGTTAAGTTCAATTAGTCAGACCTTTTAAAATGATATAGCATATACCTCACTCTCACACATGCACATAGAAAAGAAGATAAGAATGGAAGAAAATAGCAGAGATGTGACAATGCTGTCAGGTACAAGGGTCCCAGCAAGCACGATGCAGCAGATGTAGACTTTGCACTTAAGCACTAAGGACATACTATGTTTTTTCTTTTAATTGCTCTTTTAAAGAGCTCGTTTTTTAAGCTCAGAAAACAGCACACCTCTTCTGACATCAATTAATGCCATTTTTGGCTGAGAATTTTTACTATGTCATTTTTACTGGCTGAGAATTTATTCTCCCGGGTTTAGGATTTTTGCTTCAAACCTACATTTTTTCCCCCACTCTTTCTACAAGTATGCAGATTACTGTAACATAATTTTTAGCATATGGAATTAGCTATTTATAGATACCTCTCATATAATATACCACCAGACTGATTTAGTGCATTAAGCAGGAAAACAAATTATTTGCAAGCTCTCCCGGCAAGTGCCTGTGTACATTAAAGCATATAGGATTTGCTAGAAGGTACCATATAGGTCTGTTTATCCTTGGTAGCCTAAGGCAAAGCTTGGTAAAGCCAGCGGCATTCAGATTTCATTGGAGCTAAATGAGCTTCCTAAATAGGGCTGTAATTATATTCTAAACTTTTTCGCCCTCCGTATATAAGTGTAGAAGCATTTCCATTACATTTCTTGGACAAAATTACCACCATGGGTTATTAATCCCGGCATAATTTGCCGAGTCTTCTCACAAGAATGAAAGATTTTAAGTTTTCCACTAAGAAAAGTGCAAATTACTTGCCCCAATGCACACAGTGCTGCAAGTGTGCACTAGTGAAGATAACTTTGCCGGAAAGAACTTAAATTTTATTGAAGATGACTTTATATTTTAAAAATCTGCAGTCCCTTAAACCTCTTATTTTCCTTGGGCTCTTAAAAAATCCAGGCACAGGTTGTGTTTTGCTTCATGTTGTTTTCCTTCAAAAGTAGAGTCTTCTGAAGGACAAACTGTTCTTTATTTTTGGTAGCTATTTTTACCAAAAAGAGCAGAAAAAAATATTAACGATTAAAATATAAATTAAGCCATGTGAAGGAAATAAGCCTCTTTTAGCCTAAGACTTTATTAACAGATGAACTCATACAAAGAAATATATCAATTGTAAGGATTAAGTATTTCCTCTTAGTGTAGTGGGGGAAAAAACGTTTTTATCTTTACAATTAACCCTATAAACCTGAAAATAGGGTTATCTAAACTTAGAAGGGCTTAGAGGAAAACAAAGGTCAGCTTTAGAAAGGAGCATAAGTTGCAAACTGGGTTCCCAATGCAGCATGGCACAACGCTGCAAATACCTGTGCCCACATACATAGGGGTATGCAAAGGAATGCAAAGGAAGGGATCATTTAAAGAATATCTTAAAAGTTTTCAAAATGAAAAAATTTCTTCAAAATGAAGAAATCTTTTACTTTAAAATCTTGCACTTTTTGGATGCTACAAATTCCTATGCACTAATGCATGAGTTAGGGCTCTGTAAGGAACATAGAATTGAATGAAATCAGGATCCTGAAAGCAGCAGGCACCTGCAAGCCCTGTTTCTTTGGAGTTTTTGCACTGCCTTCCACGGCCCAACAGCTCTTTACTCCAGAAGCATCACTGGCCATGAAAGAACTCGGAAGGTGCAAAGGGATCATGCTAGAGCTGCATACCCTTTCCTGAGGTCATTATTTCGGCACTCCTATCCTGCTATGTTAATGGCACACAGGATGGATGTTGATTTTGTATTGTCGGATGCTGATTTTTCAGCTTTTTGGATTTGGATTGTTGGATGCTGTTTTTTTAGATTTTTTTATTCTGCATTGCATCCACAGAATGCCAAGTGGCTGCATTTGGGACAGTCTGCCCATGAAGAAAGGGGAAACCTTTGCAGAAAGTAATAATAATAATAATAGTAATAGTAATAATAATAGCTGTAGCAAAGGTGGTGGCTAAATCTTGGGAGCATTGGTGCAGATGTAGCAGGGTCTCTTCTCTGTGACCTATAGTTAGCTACTGGGAGCAGCTGATCACTCCCTACCAATAACCTGCGTTTCAAGGAGAGTTAATATTTTTCTCTCACAATCTGTGCTTTTAGCTTTCCTCCAGCTTGGTTGTGTGGATCACAAACACAGCCCAATGCAGTTGTTAATTAACTACGCTCTGGGCTCCCAGTTCCTGTTTTCTCTATAAAACGGGGTGGGGGAAGTGACTTCCTTTTGCACCGCTCCATGGAGCATCGACGGCCGCTGTGCTCGGCGCAGACCGTATCAACAGGCAGGACACTGGGCTGGCTTTGACATCCAGAAAAAGCCCATTGCTTCTTGTGCACCTACGTGCAACTGCCATGAGAAACCAGGGGCTGCTCTTAGTGCTAGGGCACGACCGTGCAGCACTGCAAGGTTGCTCATGACACAGCTCCCAGGTCTCTACTTTATCTGGCTAATTTACACCAAGCACAGATGCACTTTGCAGTATTTAGATGGAGCCTCAGCAGAGAGCTGCAGGAAAGCAAATCCAGCAGTGAAATCCAGAGCCCCTTCTCACAAGGACACACTTCTGGTCCCAGTCCGTTACGACACTCACCTCTTTCTAACATCAATTTAACAAATCTGGTCTTGGCCTCTGTTTTCTCATATGCATCTCAAGTCCTGGGCACATTTCTTGGAAGAGAACTTAGGAAAACAGGCGAGTCATTTCAGGAGGAAAAACAGCCAGAGACACCAAAGTTTATCCCTGAAGTGGTATCTTCAACGGTGGGAATTTTGGGCTGGATTAATAAGAGCAGCTAATGTCTAACAGGGTTTCTAAAGCACGGAGGCTGGTGAGCACCTGACTCCACTGAAAACAGGGGCTTGGGAGCCTGCACTGGGTTTTGGTGCTGGTTCCATGTGTGCCTGCAGCCTTAGCCCCACTGCAAATCTAGCCTGGGACCTTAAAACAAAACACCACTGTGCTAGGTAACTATATTCTGTATAGAAGGGTAAGGGCGGGTGCTTTGGAACCCTAAAGGGAAGGTGGCTGAGATCCTCTTTTCCATCTCTCACTGTTTGGGATTCCCATTCTGCCCTTTCAAATCACTCCTATTTTAACGAGTACAAATTATGCTCTTTCTCTTGGGAGCAGTTCAAGTATATTGCACTTATTATTAAAAATAAACAACAAAAAACGAGCCTTAGTAACCAGACTTGCCCATCAGCAGAGAACCAAGACTTGCTGTTGACTTTTCATACGAAATATGGCTAGATTTGCTTTTAGTGCCACTATCCCAAACAATTCCAGAGGCAAATGCAAATAGGCAGGCAAATAACGCGGCGGGCAGGGGCGCTGCCGCCGCCTGCACTGGGGCAGTTAGGGCTGTGGGGAGCAGGCACAGGGCGGGCTGGCTTCTGGGCACTGCAGATAACGAGATGCATTGCAAGAGAATTGGGGGCGATTAAATTTCAGCTTTTTATGTTTGTTCCTTACCGTCACTTCAACCGTTTGGGATTATTTGAGTCGGGTCCAAAAGGTAACCGCTCTCGCCCGGCACTTCTGCTTTGCCTCTGCTCTGCTGGTTGGCAGAGAGAACACAAGAGTCAAGCTGTCCCCAACAAGGAGGGAACCCGCCACATATTTGGGCTACTGGGATTTTTCATTGCATCTCTCCTGATATTTGGGTTGTTTTAATAATAATAATTTGTGCAGCAGCTTCACAAAAGAGCCCACGTCATGGCTTGGGATTGTGACCCTCTAGTGTGGTACAAACCCTACGAAAATCTCCTCTCAAAGCAGGGATCGGGTGATCTCCCCATCTCCCCGTTGTGCTGTCCTCATGGATGACGATGCTGGATCTGCAGCACATCCTGTAGCCAGAGGGGACACCAGCAAGAGACATGATGGGTTCTAGTGTCTCTGCCACACCAGCTTGGGGCTGCAGCATCTCACTGAACTAAATCACACCCATTCCTCCTCTTATAATATAAAGATATCACTAACTCTTCGCCTCAACCTAGGGGTAGACCTGAGGCTTAATTTTCTTACAGACTACACAGTGATGTGCAGTCCCATCTCTACATTCTTGCAATGTTTTTCCTGTTAGCCCCCTGCACAGCTGTGTGTTTTCCCCAGCCTTGAGATCCATGAGGTGCCTAAACCCCAGCAGCCACTGCCCTGGTCTTGATGGGGCAGAGGGACCTTCTCATCAATAATCTCCTCAGCAGAAGGGTTTTATTTCTCATCATTGCTGAATACGAAGCTGCTGCTGGGGGGGGAACACGTGAGAAACTACCCCAAGGACCCCAGAGATCTACCTGCAGCTATTGTGTGTTTCTGCGCAGGCCGTGCATGGAAAATGCCACGTTCTTTCTTGGTGAAGAGCAAAAAGGCTCACACCTACCACCAACACCGCTCTCTGGACGACGACCTGCCTGCCTTCACACGGGATCCGCTCACCTCTCCCTTCACTGGTGAGTCGCTCCTTAAGCCAGCTTGTAGGAATACACTCGAGCAAATAAATAATTCGGTAGACAAGCTAAGAGGGCAGGATTAATGGCTTGGAGAGCAACAAAGGGCTTCCACACGGGAATGGACGAATAGATCCCCCACTGCATGTCCTCCTTCCCTTGCGCCTGAGACCCAATTCCCAATGTCCCATTGAAACTGAATTTGGATCCTTCCTGGGAATGGCTGCTGAGCATTTGACCTCCCCTCGGTTCTAGCTCAGGTCTCCATGTGCCTCACATGTGTCTCACATTTGGGGACGATGGCCAACTTGGGGCCACTAACAGCAGGAAAACACTTGCACTTTGGTTGTCAGCCTTCTACAACGTCCCCACTCTGCCGTCTCCATCTCTGGCTTGCTCTGCTGCCCATGTGCTCCGCGGGCCGACATCCTCCTCTCTACCCCCATGTGCTGATCACCGATGACTTGCAAGGAAGGTTTCAGCACTCTGACACCCCAACACTGCGTGTGCAAGGAGCCCCCTGAACATGAGGGGCCTCTAGTGTTAACATGATCCAACTTCCCGCTGCCATCTGGGTGCTCCCACTTGTCCACCCAACAGAAGGCCGGGGACTTATCTGCCTCTGGGCCCCATTCAAATTTGCTTTATTCAAATGTAGGATCAACTGACCCTTTGTTCTGGCCCTGACTATGGAAGTGGAGTCCAGCCCTATGGTAACTTTGATTAAGGAAGAAAAGAGATGACATTTTAGTTTTGATTCCTGCCATCATCTATTGGCCATTTGCGGTGTCCCTCTGGAAGACGAGAGGTTTGGACAGATGGCTCCTGTCCTCCCGCAGCCCCGCTCCATCTCCATGCCCGAGCAGAAGGAAGGCTCTTGTGTTGGACCTTTAGACCATTTTAGACTCTTACTATAAAGCTGACTTATAACAAGGGCTCGTGGGGCTGTTTAAGGGCTGGGACAGGCAAGGAGAAACGTGCGTGTGGACAGGAGGCAACTGGGCTCTGCTGTCACCCTTGCAACTGTGTGAGCAGCTACCTCCCTCTCTGCTTCCTTGCTTGGCTGTCCATAAATTCAGCTTAATTACTCTGAACTATCTGATGGGAGGGGTGGGGAGGTTAATAAGTTAATGATTGTTAGTTATCTTAATAAAAGAAAATTGTATTAAATGGGGAAATGCTTCTTACAGGCATGTGGCCTCTAGGATTGATTTGCTTTGACTAAATAAGGAATCTACGGAGGTTTTGACTCGGGGAATTGTGCACAGACACATACACCCAGGCACAAGTTCAGACATGTGCACACAAGCCACCTTCATAAAATCTCCTCTTATCAGATAGAATAAACTGACATGACTGTGATTACAGCCATAGGAGACAAGGCAGAGGACATCAAGAAACAGGACCTAGGATGCCTGGTTCCGAAACAAGAGAAGGCCCCTTCGGAAGCAAGAGAAGAGAGCGTCCCTGTGCAGTACCTGGGCAGGATGCTGCCAGGCCCTTCAGCTGCAGGTCAGCTCCCCCAGCCACAATCACCAAGAGGTCGGGGTTAGACTGGCCTACGGAGTCCTGGTGCTGGGTCTAGGTTTTTGGTAAATGACAGCTTTTATTTCAACACCAATAGTCAGAATACGCTATGGTGTATAGGGTGTCCACGTGGCACTTGTTCAAGGACCACATGCAGTAAAACTAGTAGGGGGTTAATATTCCCTTAGCACCCCCTCTCCCCTAAAACTTCTTTAAGTTGAAATCAAAGTCACAGTTGGAACTTTGCATAGGGATTTGAATCAGGAGAACAAGTAACCAACTCCTTCCCAAGGTCAAATGGGACATTAAAAAAGGATAAGGTGGCCGGGGAGCCTTTGTACTTGTGCCCACCTGCAGGCAGTGGCAAGACTCTCATTCCTCCCTCTCCTTTGTGCACTCAGAGATGGGCATCCCAGGGCTGCAGATCAAAGACTGCAGCAACCCCACGAGCACTCCCGCCTTCTATAAAAGCGGCTTTCCCTGGGACGCCTTCCACTCACCGTACGGCTTCCGACAGATGTCCTCCACCATGCAGTCCGCCCTCCTGGAGCGCCCTGTGAGCCTGTACGGCAGCCACCTCGTCCCGGGCGCAGAGCCGCCCCTGGACTACAGCGTGCACTACTCCTCCGACACGGACACCTACCACTGCGTCAAGTGCAACAAGGTGCGTCACGGCGCGAGCCCTCCGGATGGGTCATCCCTCACAGACGGATGGACGGACATCGTCGCGTTGCGGCCAAGCACAAGGCTGGAAACAGGCACCTATTGAACACAAAGATGGGGACGTGGCTGCCTCATGGAAAATCACCGCCAAATTACTCTTTTCCAGGTGTTCTCCACCCCGCACGGACTGGAGGTCCACGTGCGAAGGTCTCACAGTGGCACGCGGCCCTTCGCTTGCGAGGTCTGCGGCAAGACCTTTGGGCACGCGGTGAGCCTGGAGCAGCACACCAACATCCACTCCCAGGTGGGTCCCTCCCGCCGGAGAACCAGCCTCCCAGAGCTCCCAAGAGCTGGGACTTCTCTTATTAATCACTGCACTATATGTAGCATTTCTTAAGGGACAAACGTGATGGCTTTCCTGATAGATAGTGATAGGAACTCTGAAGGCCACAGATCATAGATCTTTGGTCTCACAAAACTCAGATTGTCCTTGAGAATTTCTTGGACGGCTGAGGGAGGCTTTTGCTGCTGGTCCTTCTGTGCCTCATCCTCTGCAAGGTGCAGCGGTTTGGACCACAACACGTGAGCCACAAGTACCTCTTCTTTCATCCTCTTTGTACTGTCCTTAGCACATCAGTCCATGAGCAGCGCAGATCTGCCTATCAAGCCTGCTGCTCTCAATGCTTTGACACTTCCATTGTCACACATCCCACAATTTTCCTTCCCGAACAGGAGAGAAGCTTCGAGTGCAAGATGTGTGGGAAGACATTCAAACGCTCCTCTACTCTGTCAACTCACCTGCTGATCCACTCGGACACACGACCCTATCCCTGCCAGTACTGTGGCAAGCGCTTCCACCAGAAGTCAGACATGAAAAAACACACCTACATCCACACTGGTGAGAAACACATCCTTTCCCTAAGGAAAAGCAAATCCGAGCGCATCGTCTTTGTATGCATAGACAATTCCTGCATGCAGAGATGCTGGACTGGGCCTAAGTGCCCACGTGCAGCTACCCTGCAAGCTCCTGACTGTGATAAGGCACTTCCTTCTCTCTCCTCTCCCGTGCTAAGATGTTTCCTACTGTTCCCTCTGCCCTGCAGGAGAGAAGCCCCACAAGTGCCAGGTGTGCGGCAAAGCCTTCAGCCAGAGCTCCAACCTCATCACACACAGCCGCAAACACACCGGCTTCAAGCCCTTCAGCTGCGAGCTCTGCGCCAAGGGCTTCCAGCGCAAGGTGGATCTGCGGAGGCACCGGGAGACCCAGCACAACCTCAAGTGAGGGACCTGGCTGGAGCTCCCGCTGCCAGGGCGCACGGGGGACACACGGCCTGGCACGGGGCTGTGCAATTTGCTAAGGCCCCGTTGCTACGCTCCTTTGGGTCCTGACGAAGCCACTTCTTGGGCTTTGATGCTCAGCGTCCACCCAGGGCCTTGCACGTCTAGGGGCAGCTCTTCAGGGCAGAAGGTCCTGGGCTAGGTCTGACCTCACCTGCTCAAGTGCAAATCCAGTGGAATTGCTCCTATGTCACTATTGCTCTGGATTTACACCACGTGCAGGGTTCAGTTCATCAGCCCGGGCAGGAATGAGGTGGGAATTCCTGGACTCAGGGCACCGACAGGCTGTGCCAAGCTGGTCCCTTATCCCTGTTTGCTTTGATGATTGTGCAGATAAGCCAGAGCTCATAAAGAGACTGCGTCCAGCAAGCTGTGTTCAGCCTGCAGAAGGCTCTGCAGAGACTTGCCTGGAGCTTAAATCCTGGCAATAGATACCTAAAGTCATCGTTTTTCCAACAGATCATGTGCTGTGATCAGGTGACAAATTAACTATGTTGTAATTGTAGCTTGAAGTGGGAGGAAAACATGGAAAAACACAAAACAAAACCAAAAAAGAAAAAAAAAAGAAAAAAAAAAAGAAAGAAAAAACATACTTAGATGCTTCCCTAGCTGATAACAGAGGTCTCTGAACACATTCCTTACCCACAGCATAGTGGAAATCTCTGAGTTAGCAGCATAAGCTGTTAAATCCTGTGTCTCAGCACCACACGAGTGCGAGGGGCTGCTCTGGGAGCCCATGGCTGAGCATCCCATGCTATTCCAGTGTCTGGGAATCGTGTCCCTGCATGGCTAGGAATGTCCCATGGACAGCGATGTCTGGGGCCACAGTTGGGTTCTGCTGCCCCTCTCCCAAAGGAGGCCGCGCAGCCAGCGCGCTCAGGCACCTGCTGGGAATGTGGTGCCAGAGTTAGGCAAACAGGGCAGCGGGGCTGCCGCCTTCCTCCTCGTCTAGAGGAGGAAGTAAAGGGCTGGGAGAAGGAAGAGCTGTTTCTCTCTCAGGTCTGCTATGTTCCTATGTAGCCCCCGGCAAGTCACTGTGCCACTCCGGGCTTTTATTTCCCCACCTCACTTGGTGATGCAGAGTCATTCTGGTGATGCAGAGTCATTCCTCCAGGGCTGTGGAGTCCCTCAAGCCCTTCAGAGGAAGGGCAAAGTGTTATTATAGCATTAAAAGGCAAGAGCTGTCAGGCGGGCAGAGTGTTGTAAGGCTGCACAGGCTGCTCCATAGCCCCAGCCTTGAACACACAGCGTTGGACCATGACACCAGCAGGAACCAGCCCATGGACCAGGCTGTAGCACCAGTGGTTCCACTCCAAGTGCTCAAGGAGGGCTGCCACCAAGGCAAGAAGGATACGGTACAAGTAGAGAATTCATTTATGGCCAGGAGAAAAGTCTAAACCTGTCCTCAGTTACGCTGCTGTAAATCCAAAGCCTTCCTCCTGCCTGCAGATTGAGACCTAAAGGTATTTGCCCGTTTTATCCAGTACCTCAGCTGTTAGTCATTAACATGCATCCTGGAAACTCAAAACAGCATCTGTACTCCTGGCTTTTCCTTGTGCACTCTAAATATGTATTTATAGTTACTCTTAATGTATATTTTTATTGCAATATACCAGGCAATGGCAACATGTACAGGCCTGCTGGGATGTATCTGGTAAATCTGTTTCCTCTCAATAACTGGGCTAACAGAGCGCTGCAAGTCACAAACACCCATTTCCAGAGGGGCTCATACTGAGCTCTGGAGATGCTGGCAGGGGGATGGAGGAGGGGGCAGAGGGAAGCAGAGCCTCCCACGGCGGCTTCCTGAGTGGATGTGCCCAAGGGGAAAACAGGCTGGAAAGTCACATGCAGAACAGGGTTCCCACCAGGAGCTGGGAAGTGAAAAAGGGAGCTGGGGTGACAAGGAAAGTTTGGGACACAGGAGCCTCCCAGCTACAGAATAGCCCACACTCAAAGTTTGGGATTAGAGGGCACATCTTCAGGGACAGACACGCGCAGAGCCCTGAAGAGGCAGAAGAGCCTGCTCAGCAAAACAGGAGAGCGCTGTGCGGCTACAGCCCCACCACCAACAGGGGCTCTGTGCCCAGGGGACGGGGCTACCGCAGCACCCTTGTTAAAACTGTGCTGCCCTACACTGGGTCACGGCACAGCCTGGTCAGGAGAAGGGCTCCAAGGAAGGGACAAAACTTTCGGAAGGGCTAGGCTTGAAAAACTGGTCCCGAGTTCTGACTGTGACACCAAGGCCACACGCGATCCCACAGGCACAGCCCTTGAGCGAGGTAAAGGCATTTGAGCTTATTAAAACCGCTGCCAAAAATCCCAACTGTGCTTATTATTCCCCCGCGCTCCAAAAATCTGCAAACAGAAGTATTTAAAAAGCATGTCAGCATGTGAACTGCTCAGTAGCTCATGCCCTCCAGCCCCAAAACACACAGAGGTGCCGGCAGCCGCTTCCCCATCCGTGTCCCAGGGACTGCAGGTGCTTCTGCCTCTCATCTGCAGCTCCCCAGGCCCGGTCCTACCCGAGGGAACTGCTGGCACCCGCCGAGCAGCACTGCGGCAAGACTGCTTGTAAAAACGAACCACAGAAACAAATGAGACAGCTGAGCCTGCTAAACGAGGGCCACTGTATCCACTGGATTTCCATGGCTATCTCTTGATTTCCATGAGACGGGGGAGGAACAGGGCGCTCCCTCAGCACGAGGAGCGGAGCAGCCCAGTCCTGTCACGGATTCCCCTGGTCCTGGGGTGGGTAGGGAAGGGAGCTGCTGTCACATTCACCCCTGCACCTGCAAGGGGCTCCATGCACATCCCCAGGAGGTGCGAGGATTCAGGAGGAAAGGGAGAGGCCAGGGCGACGTGAGGAGCAGTGCTGAGCCACGCTGGGAAGGCGCAGGCTGCCCCGGCAGGCCGGGCTGACCCACGGCTCCACAGCCTATCTGCGGGCACAGGGCTGTGGAAGGAGGCCAGCTGGCAAAAGTCCCAGCGGGAAAAGCTGGAGGGCGACTCAAGAAGGGGCCAAGGATGGATTCACTTGGGCTCTGCACTGGGGTGTTACTGTTTCTTCCCCTAAGCAGAACAATGTGCTGCACCCAGAGCACCCGTAATGCCGCCCACCTCCTCTTTCCCCAAGCCCCGTCGCTTCCGAGGCTGTTTCTATCCAGAAAACTTGACACCTTTTTCACTTGGATCTGGATGCCACATTTGCTCCTGGCCTCTCCTGACACCTCTAAGCCCCTCAGATATAATAACCAAGGAGATTGCATGCAAGTCAGCAGCCTAGAGGAAAAATCAGCAGAGCCCCTCACTCCTTGTCTGTGCACCATCCACATGGGAGAACCACCTTCCGAGGAAGCAGCTGGAAAGCCCAGCTTGGCCCTCACTCCATATATATATATATATACACACACACACGTATAAAATATATATATACACACTTTTTTTGCAAGGAGACCTTCAGACACAGACGGAGGCTCCCAACTTGCATCTTCCTTCCCCAAACAACCCCTCCTGCCCTTGCTCCCCAAACATGCAAATCCTCCCCAGTTCTGATGACAACCCCTTTCCCACCATCTCCCCGTGCATTATAAACACTCTGGCCAGTCAATCAAGGAAAAACAGAACAAAAAGCAAAATCTCAACTCATCTCTGTGGCTGAAGAAAGAGCTGATTGTTTTTGCCTCTCTCTGAGCCCTCCCTAAACCTTGTATTTCCCTAGTCCTCTTCACACCTTCATTCCTTTATTGTAGGGGAAAGAAAATCCTGGTCTTTGGGCTGTTTTGCTTAGCAAATGAGGGACATGCAAAGTTATCCCTCCGGGCAGCTGTCAGAAAGAGAGCAGAGCCTCTGCCTTCCAGACAGCCTTGACGCGTGAGAGCACCGGCCCACAAATACCGTGATCAAGAGTGTGTTTAAGCTGGGACACAAGATGCATCTTTCCTTGCTTAATGAAGACGGGGGCACAGGACACCTGCAGGAAGAGAGGCTGCTCCTGGCTAGAGAGGCCTCGTATCGGAGCTCAGCCTTGGATCCTATCAACCTGCACCTGGGGAAACACAGGCAAAGGCAGCGCTCTCTGGAGCTGTCATGTGTGCTGGCAGGAGTGAAAGAAGGTCTCAGTGATGAGTTCAGGATGAAGAACTTATTTGCTGAGTCCTTTTGCTCCCCTCTCTCAAGGCCTCAATAAAGTGTTTTCACTGGAAAAAAATGGTAAAAAAGGGAGTCCTGTCACCCTGCAACAGCCCATTCCCGTAGTGCCGACAGGGATGAGGTGGGTGGAAGGGAGGCAGGCTGGGAGCACCCTGCACCGGTAGGTGCTCCCCACAAACACCGTGTGCAGGAGCCAAGCTCAAAGCAGCTGCTGCTGCCCCAGAGCGGCTGCATCAGCATGTCCCTGTGCAGGGCAAACGTTCCCCTCCGTCGGTGAAGAGCTGGATCTGGGACAGGGAATGGGACTTGTGAAGCTATAGGGGAAAAATAAATACTTAAAAAATGTGTTTGTGATCAGTTGTCCTGCCTGCAAAGCAGAGCTGCGTTTCTACTCTTGCTCTGGATGAGTATGTCCATATAGAGGAGATAGAACAGAACCGCTGCACCAAAGTAATTCCAAGGGAGATCAGTCTGATTCTTTCCTAGTCAGATCCACTGGGATGTGTCCCTGTGCTCTGGGTGTCCCTGCTTGAGCAGGGGGGTTGGACCAGATGATCTCTAGGGGTCCCTTCCAACCTCAACCATTCTCTGATCCCTCTCTGTGGTCAATGAGACTTACAAAAAAGCAGTTCCTGACCCCACTGCACAGACCAGCACGTTTCAGCTAACCACACATGGAGCCTATGGTTACAACCCTGGACAAACTCAGCCACTTCTCCTGTGTGACCCTGGACAAACGTTAGCTCTGGATTTCTGAAGTTGCTCAGCACCCCCACAAGCTCACAGAAATCCGGG